TGAAGTCCACAAGTCTTAAAGTTGCCAAGGTTGGACACCCCTGCATCTAAATGGAGAGGTGGCTCTGCCAATTGGCTGGGGGCTGCAGTGGGGGAACAGCACAACCGAGGGGCTTGCAGAAACACGACCAAAGCAAGCGTTGGTGTCCACGTTATGGACCAATGATGTTATCATGATACAATTCGTGCCTCCCCCGCCCCCCCAAATCTTTCTTGACCCGCCTTTTCTTTTTTCTCATGGCTTTTGGCAGTTGAAGGATCCAACCATGCTTTGGGTCCTTCAGCAATATGGAACCACAGAGCACCTGGTGAGGCCTTCCGTGCTGGAGAAGATCCGCAAAATCTTGGCCAACGTGAAGAAAGCATTGAAGAAACTGGAGTCTGACCCCTCAGAAGAAGCTGCAGACCTGCGCCCTGTATTGAAGGTGTACGAAAGGATGCGCCAACGACAGAAGAAGAAGAAGAGGCAAGAAGAGGCAAGAAGAAGAGAGAAGTTAAGATTGCAGGAGGCCAACCTCGCACTTTAGTAGCACGGAAACTACGAAGTTAGCTTCATGTAGAAACCATTAAACCTTCCCTCCGTCTATACTGTAGCTTACCTTTCCAGGTCTCTTTATGTAACACACTCTTTCTGTTGCACACATTTGAACACTGTTCAGAGTTTGAAAAGTGACTGAACCACCAGTCTTTGCCCTTACGACTGTTGCAGTGCCCCCATCCTCAAAATTCACATGCTTGGGAACTGGTACATATTGACAGGTATATAATTGCAGCATCCTGGCCACCCAAATGCCACTTGCAAGCTTCCCCCCCCCCATGATGGATTCTGGGGTTGTAAAAGTGGTTTGGGGGGGGGGGGAGGAACGTACTTTCAGGCTTGCAAGATATTTGGTGAATGCAACCTCACAGTAAAGCCAGGACTTTGGTCCTTCTGGTTGTGCTGCTTGGCTGGCCTACCTCGCAGGGCTGACACCAGTTCCTGGGCCAGCAGCCCCTCAGTGGCCTGGGAACTGTGTGCTGTCCCTACCCCCCCCCCCCCCGCCACAAAGTATACTGAGAAGTCACATTAGACATCCCATAAGCTGCTCGGGTGGAGTCCAGAGTGTGTATTTTGTAACCCTGCTTGGATTTCCTCCTTGTCACTCCCCAGTTCTATTTCTGGAGAAGCTCCTGCCGTTTTCGTGGCCAGGTTCTCCTGGAGCCGTTTGCCATTGCCTCCTTCCTAGGGCTGAGAGGCAGTGACTGGCTCAAGGTCCCCCAGCTGGCTTGGTTCGCGCCCAAGGCAGGACTAGAACTCCCCGTTTCTAACCTGGTCCTTGAATTACTCCCTCTGGATTGACCTCCATCGGCCGCCACGAACCTCCAGGTAATATTTGGTGGGACGAGAGCTCCACCTTCTTACCTCCCATAAAGGGAACATGGCAGAGTTTTGCAAAATTCCTCTCAATAGTAAGAGAACGATTTAGCTTCACAGATGGTCTGAAATTATGCCTTTTAATGCATTATTCTAATTTTCTAAAAACATAAAAGACTCAAGCTGGTTTCTTGTTGAGATTATTTTATTTGTGACAATTGTAAGCGATTGTTTTTAGGTGGAGGGCAAGTGTCAGATATTTTCATAGTGAAAACAAAAAAACAAATAAATGCTTAATATATTACAAAAATACTCCCAATGTTGTTCATTAGAAATATACTATAATTTCCTCAAGGATCATAGAAAAGAGAACAATTCACAAGGCGTGTAATAAACTATATGGAGTCACGAGGCTCTTCTGAGTTTGGTGGTTTGCTTGCAGACATTTCATTACCAAACTAGGCAACGCCATCAGTACTAGAAGAGCGTGGGGTTTGCCCAACTAGGTAACATCATAAGTGCATCATTGATGATATTGCCTAATTGGGTAACGAAACGTCTGTTAAGAAAACAGTTCAACCCTGAGCTACATATATTCTCTTCTATTAATACACTATATAACAGATAATTTACTTTACACCTTTCACGCTGTCTGTCTTGGGCACAACGTGATCTTTTTGGGGGGTGGGATTTAATTACAGTGCAGTACGGATCCTGTGACGGAAGACGTTCTACCCTGGCAGATGCTTTGGAGGGAGAAGCAGGGCCATTTCCCCCAAACCTCCAGAACTGGATAAAGATGCAAGTTCTTCTATCTGGGTCCTTCTTTAATTAAAAGAAAAGAGGTATTTTAAGTTAAAAGGCCCCTTTTTGCAAACACGGATGTGCAAGTTCGGATGTGCTAATCCAGCCAACTCCAGTCGAGACTCTGCAAAAGAAAACAGGGCAATAATCTGAAGGGGTCTCTGGGCTGTTATGCAGTAATTGATATAAAATGGACTGAAATTCAAACTCATCGTTGAGAAACAATCTCTGTGTTTTCTTTACTGTTCTACCGTTCTCTTGCACCTAAGAGGACAGGCCAAATAAAGAGAATTGTGTTTTTCCCTCTGCTGGCCTTATAAAAGGACCGGAGATTGGGAAATTCCCTTTTCAAAATTCCCTTTTACTGACAGGATGGGACTGATCACCCCGTTCCCTGCATCCCACTGAGCTGCAAAATTCTTTCAGAGTCCTGCAAAATTCCTTTGAGGAAACTCATGGAAGATTCTGCACATAAGATCAAGTGGAAGGAAGCATCAAGTGTCTTCCTTAGCCAAATGCTTATGCAAAGTTTTTGCTTGGATATTTTCCATTTTCTTCTTAAATTAGACGAGTTTCTTTTGCTGAATTAGTGAATAACCCACTTTCCAAGCTGTCTTTTCTTCTTAATAAATGAATTATTTATTACGAGTATCAAAGGGAGCCTTCAACTCACCATCATGCTGCTATTTTGGTCGTGTCTCGCTTCGTGTATCACAGCGCTAAAACTGTCAAGATAGCTTAGATTTTCTTCTAATAAATGTGCAAAATTCAACCTGTCAAGAAAAGAACAAAGATGGCTGCTCTCTATTCCAGCTACTCCTAACAAGAAAGGAAACTATTTAAATGCACGCATCAAAATCAGGAGTTTCTTCTCTTAAGCAGTCATAATTCCAGGTATTTTCTGTTTGGAGGATGAAAATATATTTTGAGATATGAATTACAATTAGGCCCCAACTTACAACCACAATCATGGTCTTAAATGGTGACCTATTTTCAAACATTTTCTTTTCTCCTTTAAGTTTCAATTTCATGTCATATAAATATTCTACTAGTTGTGCATTCGGAGCACGTGGCTCTTTGGCATTGATAAAAATGAGAGATATTCTATTTGCATGTTGCCTTCTTTGCTAAATCGTTCAGTTAATGAAGTGCTGCATTTCCTGGCAGGAGGGTCAACTGATAGCTTTGAGGCGGGATTTCAGGGAGGGAGGAAGGGAGTCACTTCTCTTACGCATTTCTAGAGGCTTCCACGAAAGGCAACGGCTGCAGCACACTGGCCTGTGTGGTTTGGGAGAGCAAGGCGGGCACAGAGGACGGGACGGGCCCATCCACGCTGGAGCTGGCCGAACGAGTGGAACTTTGAGTCTACAAGGAAAAGGAAGAACAGGAGGCGTTGGAAGAGACATGTGGGCCTTTAGCGGAGTAGCTGCGCCCTGCATTTATCCTCAGTGACTCTGATTGGACGGTGCTGCGAACAGGCCATGAGGAACAGGGTTTGTAGTGGCAGCAGGAAAACTGAGAATAAATGCAAGTGACCTGGAGCTGTCTGGCATTCATCCAACTCTGGACAGCAGCATCCAGAGTAACCTTCCCCACCCACCCACCCACCCACCCTCGGTCAGGAGGGTCACTGGGGCGCCATTTCCTTCTCCTGGACACCCGAGAAGGAAAAACTGTGTAAGCTCCACACTCGGCTGTTGGGACTGCTGGCATCGAAAGGCTGAATGAACTGACCGGGATGAAAGATGGCTGGGTCAGCTCTGCCTTACGAACACGGCCGAAACCGTGGCCGAGGCGAGGCTCTCAAGCCTCAAAACAGCTGCGGGGAAGAGATGAGGGGGGCCAGGACAGCGCAAACCCACTCTCGGTTGGTCCTTAGCAGGCGGTGTTGAGGTGACCAGTGACCAGGGTGGGGCCGTTTGACACCTGAATATCATCAGTCAGCGACACCCGATTTTTCAGATGGGTGGCTTTGTGCTCAAACGTTTTTGCCCTGCCTGATCAAGGGATATAAAATGGGGTCTTAAGAGGGGCCCAGCCACGCTCTAATCTGTTCCCAGCTTTTCCGGATAATTTTTACAATGAACCCCTGAATTCTGGGGAGAAAATGGGCCTGATATTTCTGAGAGAGAAGACCGTGGGAGGGTCTCTCTGATTAACCACCAGACACAAGTCTGGGCTAGTATTTGAACCCAAATTCCACTTACATGTCAGCAACGTCGGCAAACTGGTAAGGCAAATAAGCAACAAAGCCCCAAATTGACAAATGCGCAGCCATTTAATTTAGCCTTATTATATATTCCTTTTCCTTTCTCTGTGCTGGTCATGGGGGGGGGGGGGGGGGGGGGGGGCGGGGGGTGGCCCCCCCCCGAAGGGGGGAGGAGTGGAGACAGAGAGGGCCAGGTTATTTTTCCTCCCCGTGGGAAAAGAAATTGACCCTGCTGAGACCTGGAGGTGGAGATTGATGACATCAGGCAACCTTGATTTACTTCTATTGGGGAATGTTGACTTTGGGGGGCTGTTTCTAATTTCCAATATTATGTGGTGTAATTCCGGGTTGTGTCAGATCTGTAATTACAACAGACTTTGCCAATTTGATACTTTCCTAAATAAAAGAAATTTGTTTTTGTAGATGGACTTTGCTCTTTTCTTTTTAAATGGATTTCATCCCTTGGAAACCTGACCCAACGCTTCTTTATAACATAAACTTGGTGGGTTATACTGGCTGTTCGTCAAGGTGGCCTGGCTGAGCCACATCCTTACGCAAGCGATTTTCAGCAAGTGCCAGATTTCCCTCTGCCTTTTCCCCTGCATTTGCATGACTGAATTGTCAGCCTCCTTGATGCTGTTCAGAGCCACATCGATGCTGGGGAGCAAGTCGATGATCTTCTGTTTGCAGCCCAGCAGTTTGCTGCGGGTCAAAGAGAAAGGAGTTAGTCAGGAGGCCCTTGGCAGCCACACCCTTTCCCTTGGCCGAGGCCCAGGGGATCCAGAGCAAACGGAGGGCAAATTCAGGAATATCTTTAGGGAGGGAGTGACCTCCACCGTAACAGCCAGGGAACGGACACAGCAATTTCTCTAGCTGATCTCCCTTCAACCCCCTTCTTTCCCCCTTGTTTTCACACAAATGTTTTGGCTCAGTGCTTAGCCGTCTTTTCAGTAATAAAAGACTTTCTCAGACTCAGTTTCCCTCCCAGAAACAGGAACCTTTATTGCCAGTCTCTTGAAGAGAAATTAAGCAGGTGTTTAAAAAAAGTTTTTTTGCAGCTTCACGACTAGCGCGGCCCATTTCACTGCTTGCTGGCTTTTTTACCTTTACTGAACATTTTAAAGGAAATACATGATGAATAAATACAAAAGAACACATGAAAAAAAGAATAAGAGACAAAACAATTCAGCTAAGTAAATCAGGAATTAAAATAAGTAAGCGATAGCTTTCTAAAATACCATTAACTCGTAATAAAGAAATAAACCACATTAAGAACCTAAATTCATTATTAAAATTAAGCTAAAATTAGTAACAAAGACAGTTAACACACTATAAATTGAATGATACTGCATACTATAATAAATTCAGTCTTATCATTTCCAGCAATGCTTTTTTTTTAAATGAATTCTCTGTTTTGGCAATCAAATGGAAAATATGCCAAGGATAAAATGTTTTCTAGCCAGTTTCTCCGAGAGGACCAGCTACGGTTGCCTTGCCACCCTGCACGCCCTGCGTTCTCTGGAGACAATTCTGGGCCCTGGACTGCCCACTGCGGGGTTCCAGAGTCAGACTTTTCCAGAGAGGTTTCTTCCTTTGGCAAGAAACGGCAGGTCAATTTAAGGAAGCGTATTTCAAAACTATGAACAAGCTTTGATCAACTAGAAATACACTGGAAAAGTTTATATCCATATTTTTAGTATTTTTTTAATGAAGAGCAAAGGCAAGAGATGTGATAGAGAGAGAGCAAGCACCAAAGTCCACGTGATGTTCCTGGGACTGTGGTCGTCCCGCTACCTGGGCCCTGAGCAGGACTGGGAAAGGAGAGCTGGGGCGGGCACCAGGTGTGCCTGCCTAATTACCTGAGGTGCCTGAAGAGCTCCTTAAGGACCCAGTCTTGACTCTGGACGGTCTGGACAATGATCCTCACCATCTCCGTGCTGTCACTGTACACATGGTCTGAAAGAGAGATCTCTCCAAATATGGAACTTCCTCCACATACAAAAGGCATTTAGTAATCAGATTTTACCTCAAAAGACCGTGTTCAGAAAGGCCGCATACTTTAAATTAGCATTAATAACGAGAATATTTTAACTGTTTGGATACATCAGAAATCCTGGTAAACAGGACTGTAAAATTTTGTTGTCAGCGAACAAGACTTCCCATATTGTACCTTTTACATATTTCCTCAACCCAAAGGGCTCCCGAGAGTGAAAAGGCTCCACATTTAAGGGAACGATGAGGTGTCTGACTAGATACGAGTCAGTAGCACCACCGTAGGAACAGCTAGAAATGACCATGCAAGCCTTAGAAACCACTAAAGAAAGAGGCCACATGAAAAAGAGGCAGAAGATTCAGCCCACAAAAAAATTGTTTTGACGAGGTATAGCAAATCTTTCGTGTTCCCTGCTGAGCCCACCTATTCAGGCTCCTTGGCAAAATTATGGCCGCTCTCTCTGCGGGGCCTGTTGCAGCTTCCCTGGGGGAACAGCGTACCTGGAGGCCTCGATTTCAATTGCTTGTAGAGTTCAATGGCTCTCTGTTCCCTGTGGAGAGAGACGGGGCAGCTGTGAGCACGATCCCCTCTCCCTTCCCCTTTGGGGTGAGGGTCCCACAAAGGCCAGGGGCTCATGAGGCGTTGAAACGCAGAGGCCACAAACGGGGACCAGCCTCTGCCAGTGAGAGTGGGAGCTTAGAAGGGTTTACTCTCAATAAAACGGTGGAATATTTGATCTGGTAGATCTTCAAGGGAAGATCTTTATAGTTTTGCTCAGGAACAATAGTGCAATTAGGAGAAGCAGCAGTAAAACCATAAAAATGATCCTCTTAAGGCTGGACGATGTTTTGTCTGTAAGCGTTTAGTACGCTCAACTCAGCCAAACTTCTGGCGGGTTTCCCCTCAGACCAACTCGGTGGGTCCCTTAATGGCACCAGGGTGGGCTTTGAACGTTGCAACTCACCCAAAAAAGGAATATGCGGGCACACAGTTCCACCTTTAATTCAAGGATTGTGTTAAAACTACAAATACTGGATCCTTTTTTTAACAGAAATAGTCCTTGAATTACAATGGAGCATGCCCATCTCGGTCATATCTCGTGACAGTTGTAAATCGGGTCACCGAGGAAAATGACCTGATTTTTATGACCTATTTTGCGGTGGTGATTAAATGACCACTACGTGGGCCAATTTTGCTGAAACTCAGAAATAAATGCCAGTTTTGGCAAAACTGTTCATGAAACACACTTAGGACATGAAACACTGCAAATGGCAGAATCGCCAAGGGCTCGAAGTGGGTGGGCGGCTGTTGGAACTTGGAATCCGGTCATAGGTCTTTCTCCCCCCTCCCCCACCCGCCAGGGAGGTCTGTGGTCTTCTCCAACAACCGCCAAGCAACTGGTCACAAGTTGATGAAGGGGGGAGCTCTGCCTTCCAGCTTTCCAATTGGGGTCCATGGCCCTGAGGGCCATTCCCCCCGTCTCTCGGCCGTCCATCAGATGACCCCCAGCCTCTCTGCCCCCGGGTCTCGGCCTCTCGCTCCCAAGAGTCAAGCGGAGAAGACCGGCAACATGGAACTGCCCCTCACCTCCCCGCACGAGAGGCAGGGGATTATGGGGGCAGAGTTTGCGGGTGACTCTGGTCAGAGGAGATGCCGAGTGGCCAAATGAAGAGATCAACGTTTTCCGTCTCCAGCTGCCTCTTGGTCGGTACATTTACTTATAACATTTTGGGGCCCATGCAACATTTATTAGCCAGGGTGCGATTAAGGATGCTCCGTAGAGCATAAGTAACAATCACAAGGCCTCCTCCTGCTAAGTCAGTGGCGCAATCAGAAAAGTTTGGTTTCTTACAGATTTTCCATTACATCGTTTTGACGTCGCACATGGAGGCTTCTCTGCAGCTCCACAATTTCGGTGTGCAGCGCCATGATCTGCTCATCCAGGGAGCCGATATCCGCCACCTGCAAAGGAGAAATGAAATTCCCTCTCTCTGATAGACTGAAGATAACCTCTTTTTTTTCTGCACCGAATAATCACCTAACTGGAAGTTTCTTCTCCTCGGACAGAATAAAAGGATTTGCTGCAGGGCATCTCCTTCCCTCCAGAGTTTCTATTGAAGCTGGAGGGTTATTTGCTGGAGATGCCCTGGAGCTACCTTTCCCAACCCTGGCCACTTTGAGAGGGATGGACTTCAACTCCCAGAATGCCTGCCCGGAGAATTCTGGGAGTTGAAGTCCACGGATCTTAATTATTGCTAAGGTAGAGAAATATCCACACCAAGTAGCCGGTAGCGCCAGATGGCCCATATTTTGAATAATAAACAGTAAAAATGGAAAAGATTTGAATGTTCTCAATTTAAGAAACCTTGGAAAAACAGAACATTTTCCTCAGGGACTCAAGGATGTTAGGCCTGAGTTACGGGGAATGTGCTTCTGAATACCATGTTCACAGAGAGACAATGAGAATTTTCCTCTCCATCTGGAACGGCAATGGCTGAGCACACTCTGAATTAGACAGCTTTATTTGAGGATCATCTCGCTATCAGCGGTAATGAAGCGCAGAACAAGGCAGGGGTGCTTAATTTCTATTAGCTTCCTCTTCTTTCCCTACACGTGAGAGGCTGTCTCAGAATTAAAAATCTATGTTTGACAAACAGTAACAATAAACGTGAGTTAAAAGCCATGCATTCCTCTTTGGATAACGGAAAGTTTTCCATGACTTTCCTCTCTTTATTTTTAATTATTTAATGTCCATTAATTTCCTATTTTTTCTATATACAGATAAGGTGCTATCTCAGAATTAATGAGGACGACGGGGACAAGAACAATAAAAGTAATAGGTGTAAAAGAACACACTTTGGGTTCGACCCATATACCTTTTCGCAGAGCGAGGCTTTTTCTTCCATGTCTTTCCAAGCTTTTAGCATTTTCTCTGAGGCTTAAAGAAACACACTGGAGTTAATTTAAAGATACCACATTCTCTGAAAACGAGCAACGCTTCTTTTGAAACAAAATGCTTCAGAAGAATTTAGCTATACTGATGAATTTTGAAAATTTAACGTATTATGTACATTTCAGACAAGAAAGAGGTAGAAAACCAGGGACTGGGGGTCTGGACTGAGGAAACTGATAGGTAGGATACAGATGTTAAGAGGAGGAACTGGTGGATAACAGCGTTTCAGGTCTAACATTCTGACTGATCCCGATAACACGCAAGAGAGAAGCTGAGGGTGTAAGAGAGGAGTGAGCTTGAGCGGGCGGCACCCCCAAAAGTTGATCCAGGTGTTGGGGCCATCGCTGGCCCAAAGGCTTACAGATTCCATAGGTCATTTGGTCGCTGTATCGTTCCAAGTCCAGGTGGATACTTTGCTGGAAGAAATTCAGCTTGGCTTTCAGTTGCTGCGATGCTGAGATCATGTTGTTTTTCCTGTTGGTTAAATTGGTGTTGTACCTCAGAAGACTCAGCCTAGAGATTGGGACAAAGAGAAGTTTGCATTAATCTCTGTCATAACTACACATCCACACATACCTGGATAGAGAGTCCTGGTGGCGCAGTGGTTAGAGTGCAGAATTGCAGGCTAACTCTGCCCACAGCCAGCAGTTTGATCCTGACCGGCTCAAGTTAACTCAGCCTTCCGTCCTTCCAAGGTGGATAAAACGAGGACCCAGATTGTTGGAGGGCAAGAGGCTGACTCTGGAAAGCGCTTAGAGAGGGCTGGAAAGCACTGGGAAGCGGCACAGAAGTCTGCTACCTGGGATTCCCCAATGGACGCCCCTACCTACCACTGGGGGCCACAGGAAGGAGCGGAAGGGCTGCTAATTGGACCCCACAGCCCTGCGTCATCCAAGCTCTTCCCACCACTGCGCTTCTTCCTCGGGGGGCCCTGGGACTTACATGGCTGCCCTCTGGCCCTGGAAGAGGCGGCTGTAGTCGTCCTTCAGGCCGATGACGTAGTGCACAGCTTCTGCCCAGATCTTCCGGAGCTGGAAAACGGGCAGCTGAATTTTGCTGTCCTTTACTGAGAGGGGAAAAAATGGCCCTCCTTATTAGTCTATTAAGAACTGGAAGTCATAAAAAGGGAAAGGAGGGAAGGGAGACACTGAAGAACGTTCGTGACGGAACCAAAGCTGACACAATCCCTGCTTATTAATGAGTCTCAAACATGACACAATTCTGCAACTTTGAATTCAATATTTACAATTTGCACAATTGTTTAGAAATTCTAAGGAAACGATGAATGGGGCAGGAGCAGAAGCTTGAACATTCTTCTGACTGATCTAATGCTAGTATTTTTTATACTTTGATATTTTAATAAGGCCTCAAAGGTGATTGCAAAATATTTTTCCTAAATATGTTGTAGCCGAATCTTAGAATAACTAATAATTATTACTAAACTGAGACAAACTTACCAATATAATTTACAGAGTCAGAAAGTGTCCTCGAAGCGAAAGGGCCTTCATAGGTAGTTTTGCTTTTATCAAATAAATATACCATGTAGCTATCCCAGCCTTTCTGGTAAAGAGGAGAAATTATTAAGTCAAAATATTTCCTTGCAAACCTTCAGAAAGTACCAATAATCCAGTAATAACATGCAAGAATGAATGAATCAACTCATACATATATGATATACACACAGTCACGGGGTGAAAAATTCTGTAGCAATTTATTTTACAAGTCTTAAAAAAAGGAGCTGGAAGAAACTAGTTCTGATCTAGGCAAATTATATAAAACGATTAACAAGCCTTTCCATTTCTTGCACTAAGTGGTGCTAAGATGCCTTCTGCCTCTGCAAACACGAACTTATTCTGCCAAAACGAAGGAAGTTTGAGCTGACAAGGATCTCTGCGAGGTCCAGTCTGTTCTCTCTTAGGCCACAAAAATAATGCCGTATCTGCTTTTCTGAACAGCTTAGCTTGGATGGCAAGCCCAGCCAGTCTCTCCCAACACAGACCGCTGAGCTGAGCTGCCGGTTCCCCCAGCCCTTCGGCCTTTCTTGAGGAGAGAATCAATAAGGGAAACCACAGGGGGTTAGTCAAACAAACGAACAAAAGCATCTTTGGGGAAATGCCGGGAGGGAGCCGGGGCAATTGTGCCACACAGCTTTCCCCTGAAGGCAGCGGGGCGGGGAGTCCGGCTGCCTTAACAGCTCTGGGAAGCAGGGGAGGCATTCTACCGGTCCGGCCCGGTTCAGACGAACTGATAGTAAAAAACAGCCACCAGTTCAGCCTAACCGGTATTTTCCCCGCTTCCCAACGATCAGCTGTTCTGACAATCAGCTGTGCAGGGATTCCCCTCGCGGTCTTAGTGCTTTGCCCAGGAGGCCAAAAAATGGAGCGAGGGAGGTGCGGGAAAGAAGCCTCGCCCACCCAGCCCCATGGCCACGCCCACTTAGCCACGCCCACAGAACTGGGAGTAAAAATATTTGCATCCCACCCCTGCTGGGAAGCTCCCGAATCTGCCAGGGCACCAAATTATCCTTCACCGCTCTGGTCTATGGCCAACTTCCATTTTTCCTCTCATTTTTTTCCAACTATCAACTCTCTGGATTTCTACCTGCCGTTGGTCCTTGAGTGTTTTGGCTTCCTTCAGTAGAAGTTCTGGCTGCTTATTATTTCACAACAGGATGTGAGTCCTGAAGATGTAATTGAGAAATGCCTCAAACCAGTAAGAAAATAGGTCCAGTGTCTTGACTCAACTTTCACACAGTGTAAAGTTTACTCCTTCGTATTATGCTGGTGCTTCTAAAGTATTAAACATTGCAGCCTTTTTTGTCTTGCAAAAACGGAATTGAAGAAAAGGATGTGTCTTACCAGAGCTGTTTATCAAAAGCCTTGCAGAAAACAACACAGGTGACAGCAATTTCCATTTCCATAAATCGGAATTTATGGAAATTTGTGACACAAATTCTTATATTCTGCCTGACTGCTATGAACAATCAAATCAAAGATGTGCCAATAAGAGACCTATTTGAGGCCAGAATTCGAGGAGGACTCTTACTACGCCATCGATGACACACTGGGAGGCTGGTTTCCGGGGGTCCAGACAGCTTCCCATCTCCAGGAGCAGCTCCTGGTTTCCCAAGCTGATTCCGGTGTCGGATTCAATTCGAACTTGCAGGGAGTGAAGGCTTTCCTCTGGGAGCAGAGAATACGACAGGATCTTGGCAGACGTCATATTTAAGATGTGGACAATCTGAAAGAAAACCCGCAAAGAAACAGCAAAGTACTTTGAAAAAGTTCCCTTCTGAAGATTTTTTTCCACCAGTCCCCCGTGAATTTAGGAGAGACAGGTTTAAGGTGCTCAAAATAAAAAAATAAAAAAGGGAGGGGGGGAGTACAGCATGATCAAAGCAGTGAGGGTGGTTTTTTTTTGCAACAGCTAGTTTCTTGCCCAAATTTCTAATCACGTTACTGTTATTTCCAAAACAAAAGTGTACTGGGAAAAGGGTTTTTATTTCTTTCCTCTCTCTGAGAAAGAGCGAATATTTTGTCTTGATGTTACCAGCAGCTCTGAATATTTTGAGATTCAATCAAAGAAGCAAACGAACACTTATGAAGCGACTGCACTCCTAGTTCATCTTTTTAATGGAAACGTGCGGTCCACCCACTGACCTTCAGACTCAACAGTTGTTCCATGACTTGAAAACACCTGTAGCTGTTCGTGTTCGGGTCCACTCCGCCTCCCCTTTGCTGGGGGTCCCAGGTCAGCATCATCTGAAGCCAGGGCTCCACGCTCTCCACAATTGTGCTGAGCCACAAGACGGAAGGGAAACGTGAGCCCACCATCGTGCTGCCCCACTCTGGGGCCTGGCTACCC